CTCATCTGGACAGCTGTAATCTTCCAGAACGTTCTTTTTAAAATGCACATCCTATCACAGTGACTGCCTACTACTCTTAGGAAAACAAAGCCCACATCCTAGCATGGCCTGCATGACCTGGCCTCTGCCAAACTCTCCTGGAATACTCAGAGCTGCTCTCCAAACTCATCACTCCTGGTGCTTGACCAAGTTGCCGGTCAAGAACCCACCAGATTCAGGTCCCATACACAAGCTGTTCCCTCTGCCCAGGACCTCGTCCCTGCTGATCCATCCTGATTCATCATTTAAGTCAGCCTAGACATTGCTGCTTTCCCAGGCCTCCTGGTGTAGACTTGAGTCCCTGCTAATTCTTCATGGTACCAGCTACAACAATTGTAATTTAAATATTTGCTTTCACACTTACTTTGTTTACACTGACTCCCCTTGCACCTATAGGCTCCATCCCAGGGTAAGGAATTGCTGCATCTCCCTTAGCCCACTGTGTAACTATAGCATCTAGCACAGTAGTGCCTGACCCTAGATGAATTGGTGGATGGATGGAGGGATGGATGGAGGGAGGGAGGGAGGGATGGATGGATGGATAGAGGGATGGATGGGTGGATGGAGGAATGGAGGGAGGGATGGATGGATGGAGGGATGATGGAGAGAGGGATGGTTGGTTGGAGGGATGGATGGGTGGAGGGAGGGATGGATGGATGGATGGTTGGAGGGATGGATGTGTGGAAGGAAGAAGGGATGGTTGGAGGGAGGGATGGTTGGGGGGATGGGTGGGTAGATTGATGAAGGTATGGATGGATGAACCAGTGAGCATCCAGATGGGGGATCAGGAATGGCCTCCTGGAAGAACTGGCATGAAGAAGAAGATGGTTACGTTCCGGACCTTCTAGAATCACAGGCCTGGAATCAGAGCAAGACGTACCTTGTCTTCCAGCTCTGATTATTCAAGCTTCCTTTTCCTTTCCTGAAAGTCACTGATTCAGACCGACTCCATCTAAACTTCCCCTCTGCCGGGTTTTCTGCCTGGGGAGAATGGTTGCTCACCCAGCTGTCCTGGCCTCTCTTTCCTTGCCACTCTCTACCCCGGCCCGCTGCCTCTCCAGACCACTTTCCCACCACACCCTTGGGTTTATTTAACTGAGTCATTGTGCGGTGCTGTAGAGCTAATTTTCACTTCTGCTTGGGTAGTGAGGTGAGGCGCTTCGTGGCCCTGAGAGGCAAAGGAGAGCAAGCACGTCACCGCCTCCCCAGTTCCTCCTCAGACTCGACACGCAGGTGGCCAACCCAACCCTATCTGCAAGGGCCCTACCATAACCCAAGCCAAACGCCAGCCACAAAAAGAAATTGAAAGAAAAATCTTTCTACTGCTGCAAAGACAAGCTCCGTATCACATTTTTCCCCCTCTCTGGATAGAGGTGACTGGTTCAGTTTCCTTTTCAGACTTCTACAGGACCCTGTCAGCATCTGTCTTCTCCCTCACAGATTGGAAGATGGCGTCGCATTTCTCTTCCTACCAAACTGAGGCACTGTAAGACCAAAAAGCAAAGGGGAGATTCCTCCCACTTGATGGCTGGTGGCCCACTTCCCAGGTGAAGAGCGATATAAAATCGGAAGACCTAAAGAGAATACAGAGAAAAAAGTGTTCTTGAACGAGTGTGTGTGTGTGTGTGTGTGTGTGTGTGTGTGTGGAGGGTTAGCCAAGGGAGGAGGGGGTCGTGTGCAGGCCACACAGGGATTTAATATGTGATACAAAGGGAGAGAAGGAACAGCATTAAGTAATGATAGCCATGGTTTACTGGGCCTTTACTCTTTGCCAAACACATTGTAAAGTGTTTTGTATACCATCTTTCATGTAATTGTCAAGGCAGCCCAGGGACGTAAGCATTGATAGGCCCATTTTACAGTTGAAGAAACAGGCTCACTGAATCACGCAGCTCGTGAGTGGCCAAGTTCCAGGACTGAGATCCCGCTGTCCCTTGCTTTGAACCACTACTCACAACTGCTCTCCTAGGGCGACAGATCGGAAAAGAAAGGAAATTGGTTTATGGTGGGGCAGAGGGCTTGAGATTAGACATAAAGAATGTTCTGACAATGAGGGCTGTTTGGTCGTAGTCAGGGTAATTAGGCTCGTTAGAGCTCTTCCTCTGAGGGCCTTTACTGTTACAAAGAATGGATATTTCTATGCCTGGCTGGTTTAAGGGACACACTCTGTGCTCCAAGCATGGGGGCTGGCCCGTTTGAACAATCTGACAGCCTGGCTGGGGTACAAGACAATGACACATGAAACCGTTAGATTATGGGGGACGATAGCGCAGGGTGTGTGCCTGAAGGCGGCCGGTGGCGAGCAAGGGCCATGGCAGGCACATATTGTTGTGGTTTCTAGCAAGGGCTCTGTGGTCAGGTAGACCTGTGTTTGAGTCCCTGCTGGACCGCCTCCTTGTGTGACCCTGAGAACATGACTTAACCTCTGCAAGCCTCCGTTTCCTAGCCGGTAAAAGACAGGCTAAGAATAGAGCCTACTTTGGAGAGTTGCCATGAAAATTAACTAAGATGATACATGTAAAGTGCTTGGCACAGAACTTGCACACAATAAGGATACAATGAATGGGAGGTGCTATCATAATTGTTATTGTGGGAGTCCAGAGGCCAGAGAGAGAAGTACAGAGCAGAGCTGTAGGTCAGTAGCTGAGAAAGCCTTCCTGGGAAACTCCGGTTTTGTCCTGAATCTTGAAGAATGGGTTGGGTAAAATCAAAAGGAAGGACTAGGGACAGAGACGGGGGCTCACATGGTGGGGCGAGACTTCAGATTCTGTATCTTAAAAGAAAATTCTAATTTGGTCTGTGGTTAAATGAAAGGAAGAAGCTGATTAGGGCAAAGAGATGGTAGAAGAGATGAGGTCTTCTGTCTTTGTTCAAACCCAGAATTTTAATAGAGGTAAAAACTGCCCCTCAGAGACTCCAAAAAAAAAAAAAAAAAAAAAGCAGCCAGACACACAGGGCTTTTCTGCTTACTTCCAAGATCTCACTGGGTGATGGGGAAGGGGCCTGGGAACATGGCTTGGGGCAGAGTGGGTGATGGATGAGGACAGGCCCAGAAATAGGGGAAGTTAGGAAATGTGGGTGAGGCCCTAATGACCCTGTGGACTGACTCATGTGAGAAGACCCAGCTCAAAGGCTAGACAGAGATGAGTAGCCTAGCAGGCAGGAACCCTGGCCATCTCGTCTTCAGTCCTGCCAGCTCAGGGTGGGAGGGCCCAGGAGTGCAGTCTTCGTGCTAATCCATTATTCTCTGACAGCCTGCCTTATCTCCCTGATGTGAAGATAAACTCCTTAGGGGCCAGAGTAGTTCTCCAGGAAAGACCTTGTTTGTTTTAGATCCTCTCTGCTCAGCCCTCTGTCAAGTACCTCTTAGATCAAGCATCACCTGGGCCTTTGTTAAAAATGCAAATTCTCAGGGGTTTTTTTTCCCCTGCCAGTGTCTGTTTGGCTAAATTTAGGGACCCAGGTGTTTGCTTTGTTTTGTTCTTAACAAGCGCCCAGATGATTCTTTTGATAAGGCAAATTTGGAAGACACTGAGTTAGATAATCTCTTGAATCCTTTTCAGTCCTATCAATGCAGGCGGCAGAGTACAGTAGGAAGAGCCCTGGGTGGGCAGTAAGGAGACAGGTTCTAGGCCCAACCTTGCAGTTCATGGGGTCGGGGCCTGCTATGGGCACCGTCACAGTACCCAGCTGTCTGGGTACCCTGTGTCTTCTTTGGTACTAATAAGTACACTGTGCTGGGGTGAACTTGGAAGGGAAGGAGGCCACAGAGAATTCAAATCTATGATCAAGATCTAAGAAGGAACAGGGGGACTGAGACTAAACAGAAGTGAAGTGGACATGGGGAACAATAGGTTCTGAGGTTTTCCCTGGGGCTTTCTGTTCCAATGGAATTGGCAGGACATCATAAGTCTCAGCAACTCCCACTAGACACAGGGCAACACATAGGCCTAAAGAATTTTTAAAACGTTCCCAAAGCATACAGTTACTCAGAGGAAGCAGGAATCCCAATCCCCCTTGCCCTCACCCTGGCAAGGGGTTGGGGTGCATCGCAGGGCAGTCATATTTTCTTGGGACTTGTGGGAGAAACCTCTGTGGGTCAAGCGCCAGTGCCCTGAGGCCCTAGTCATTTTCCTGAATCTCCCTGGATTTGCTGGGAGGGAGGGTGGGGATCTGGGGAGGTGGGCAGGACTGAGGACAGGCCATGAGTCTGGCTAGCGGGGGAGATCAGACTGAAAAGAAAAGGTGCCCTGGAGCTCACAAAATGGGGGCAAGCCAAGCGGCCCGTCCGGAGAGGTGCCCTGACTTATCAAACTATCTCACCAGAGAGATGGCAAAGCTGGGCGAGAACATCAGCTCATCCCTCCAGACCCAGGGCAGTCAAAAGGCTGAAGGAGAAGTGAGGTCTGATTTTGCAAAAACTTTTTAGAAATTCGCTGTGTCAGAGAAACTCAAAGACCAAACAAAACCCCTAAAACACCAAGCCCGATTATTTCGTCCACGTGGCACAAGAACAAGCCAAAGGGGGGGGGGGGGGGGAGGGGGAAGGGGGGGGGGGGGAAGAGTCACCCATCCCGCCCCTGCTGGGAGGACGGGATTTGCCGGGACAGCCAGGACAGCAAGGTCGCACGGGGCGCGGCAGGGAGGGAGGGAGATTGAGAAAGCCCTTTTCCCACAAAGCCGCTGTGCGGCGGTCCCCCGCCCCCGCCCCATCCCTCGGGTCACTGCCAGAGTGCGGGGAGCCGCCTCGAGCCCTTTAAGGGCCGAGAGGTGCGCGGTCTCTTTAAGGCAGGTCCTGGTGGTTTCTGTTTTCCGAAGGAAGTGACGGGGGGTGGGATTGAATGAAAAGTGCAAAACAGTCTCGGAGCTCCGGAGTCGGGGGCCGCGGCAGTCGCAGCGCTGGGCCGGTGGGCGGGCGCGGGGGCCCCGGGAGCGCCGCGTCCGCCTCGGAGCCGCCGGGGGGCGCGCGGCGGAGCGCAGCCCACGTGCGTCCGCGCCACGTCTCGGCCCACCCGCGCCTGAGCCCCCGGGGGAGCCGCTGCCACGCGCCGCGAACTAGCCGGTAACTTCGCGCGAAGTTTGGCAGCGCTCCTCGCCGCAAGCTCGAGGCCGGCCGGGCCCCCGGGGATGCGCCCGCTCGGCCGCCGCGGGGTCCCCACGGCGCCCCCCGCGCCGCTGCTGCTGCTGTTGCCGCTGCTCGTGTCGCTGCTCGGGGCGGCGCGGGGCGTGGGCGCGGGGTCGGGCGCGCCTGCAGAGCTGCGGGTCCGCGTGCGGCTGCCCGATGGCCAGGTCACCGAGGAGAGCCTGCAGGCGGACAGCGACGCCGACAGCATCAGCCTCGAGCTGCGCAAGCCCGACGGCACCCTCGTCTCCTTCACCGCCGACTTCAAGAAGGTAAGGCACCCTCGCTCGCCCCGCGGGACCCAGGAGCCCGAACGCCCCGGGGTCCCGGTCGCACTGAGGCCTGCAGGTGGAAGGCGGGCCAGGAGAGGGACAAGACTTAGCCAGGGTCATGTCGTGGGGCACTTGTCTACACCCCTGTGCAGGCTCCCCAAAGCCCGGCCCTTTCATTCTGCCCAGGGCAATTCCGCTGCCGCCCCCTCCAGCCTCTCGCCCCTTTGCTCTGGGTTCGCAGGCCCCTGCTCATTCCCACTCCCCGCTCATTCCCACTCCCCGGCCAGCCTGTTGCCCACTTCTCTATCAGCTCTCCCAGAGCCCTCCAGGTGCTGATTCTCCAGAAATGCTAACTCCCTTCTTGGGGTAATTTGCCTCTGCTCTAGAGGAGAAAGTCCTGGGCCAGCAATCAGAGATCACGGGTTCTTGCCCTGTGGTCTTGGGCAAGTCCCTTTCCTTCTCTGGCTTTCCTTTGTCACCTCTGTACAGGTCAGTGAGGTGGCTCCAGGCCTCTCAGCCCTGATGTTTTGGAGTCTATAAACCAACCCTCTTGTTTCACTTTCCTAGAGAGGAGACATGGAGGGGGCGGGGCGGGCATAAGAGTGGATTGTCCCCTGTCCCTCCGGAGCCAAGGAGATGCTACCTCTCCTCTCTGGTTTGGGAGGCTGGAAAGCTTGCTGAAGGACGACCTGGCGAGAGGCCCCACAGGAGGTCCCCACTCTCTGGGAGAGCTGCTGCTCCTTACCCTGCCTGGCCAGACAGCTGGCCAACCTCCATGTTTTGGCCCAGATTGCAAGAAGGGGAACAGAAACCAGCCTCTACTCAGTGTGTTTGTAAGGAACCAGAAGGAACCTTGTGGAGGGACTGGAAGGTGGACCTGGCCCCCAGGGTGGTTGGGGATAGGGAAGGCAATGGAGGGACTGGGGGATTATCAGCAAATGGTCCTGGAAGGGTAACGAGGGACTAACGGTGACCCAGCAGCAGGAATTCTGGAAGGAAAGAGGGTGGGTGAGATGTAGGTACTCAAGGGGAGTCTCCTGCTGTACACACACACACAAACACACACACACACACACACACACACACCAGCCCGTTTTCTGCTAAGAAAGAGGCCCTGTCTCTGGGGGACTGGAGAGGTGGGGACAGTTAGATAACTGGACAGCTGGAGAAGCTCAGGCCTGGCCCAAGCCGCTCTCCCTCCTCCCTCTTAGAGAGTGGGAGTTGGAGAGGAGATGGGCAGAATTTGGGGAGCCAGTGAGGGACCCAGCAAAACTGCTATTGAGAGCGTGGGCCGGGACGGAGGGTGGGAGGATCCTGTGGACAGTGGAAGTAGGGTTTCACTGCTAATCTGTCCCCAAACTACTGAATTACCACTGACGTCGGACATAGGTAGACCATGGAGTATTGGGGGGTGGTCATGGTGGGAAGACTTTATAGCCCATCCTTACTGGGCAGGCACAGGCTAGGTTCTCCCATTCAGGCAGGGGCCTGGAAGGGTAGCCAGTGTGGAGAGAGGGAAGTTGACGGGGACATACCCGCCTCCCCATACCCGTACTCCAGGGAAACTTTGTCACTTGTATTCTTTTCCGGGAAATCCCAGTAGGGGCTGGACCCCTCAGGAGGCAGCGATCTAATCTTCCTCTCTAACCCTCCACTGAAGCCCTTTTTCCTTGAGAGTGAGCCTCTGGCTGAGCCAAGAGCCTCCTGCTTTCTTGCCTCCTGCCCATTGTTCTATGGCGTCTGGAACCCTGGAGAGAGGCTTCCCCACTCCTGGGACCTCTCCTAGGCTGTGGCTAGGACGCAAAGGCTAGGGCTGAGCTTTTATAACCCCTGGCTGCAGCATGAACGATTTTATTGCTCTGCCCTGTAGGCAGGAAGAGGGGGGAGCCCCGTGGCAGTGGGGTGGAGGACTGGGGCCTGGAGCTGAGAGCATAGTTGGGGGGCAGGCGGCCCAGTTAGAGAATCCATTTGGAACGGATTGCCAGAGTCCCATTTTAATCCCTGCAGTGATTCAAATCTCCACCCAGGTTTCCAAAGTCTACTTTTCAGGTTAGCCTGTGACCCAGAAGCTGGCATTTCACACCCTCCAAGGCATCTCCAATTTCACCAGCAAGGACAGGAATCGGGGGGGTGTGGTATGTGGAAGGTGCAGAGAGGAAAGCCCGCTCTGTACAGTCTCCCCAGCTCCGGGTTGCTCTGCTAGCCTGGGCGGAGCAGAATAGCCTTCACGCCTGCCCCAGGCCACTGTCTACGCTGGCCAGAGCAGCTTCTATAGGCGGATCCTTCCGGGGAGACTCCTGGGCCACTCTCCTGTGACCCACTTAGTTCCCAAGGCCTCCATGTGCCCCACGGTCTTTGGCAGATTTGCACAAGGTTCTATCTGGAAGGAAGGATTCTTCCTAGGGGAAAAAATCATGGGCATTGCGTTTCTTTTGTGTAGCAAACATATTTGGAGTGCTTTGGGGAAATGCCCTAGTCCACTTAGGAAAAGCGACGGTTGCCCTTTTCTCACCTTCGGGAGGTAGTCCAGGCTGAAATAAACAGACATGGTTTAACCTGGGCAGGGTACTTGATCTCAGCAGGCCTTCTTCTCTTCATCTGTACAAGGGGGGGGTGAGGACAGTACCAGTCCCGTGACTATCAAAAGAACCAATCAGGTAATACGTCTGAAATACCCACTAGGCATTGGCTGCTGTGCTAAGTGCTTAAGAACTAGAAGACCGTGAACTTTTGTAATCGTTGCCCACATCACATTTCATCATGGGTCCTCCCTGCTGAGCTTGGACTCGGACAGGTTGAAGGACGGACCCAGAGTCCCACACAAAGTCAGCCCTGAGCCTGGAGGTGCCTTTAGGCTCTTACTGTAGCCTTCTTGAAGCACCGTGTGTTGGAGCTCTCCAGAGAAGCAGAAATGACAGGACACAGAGCAAGAGCTAGAGAAAGAAACGTTGCAACAGATCGGCTCCCATGATTTTGGAGGCTCAGAAGCCTGACAATCTGCCTTTTGCAAGCTGGAGGCCCAGGGAAGAGGGCAGTGTGGTTTCAGCTGGAGTCCAAAGGCCTGAGAAGCAGGTGCGTCAGTGATCGAGGGCAGAACGTTGACGTCCCAGCTCAGACAGAGGGCACGTTCGCCCTTCCTCTGATTTCTGTTCTACCCACACCCTCTCCAGACGGGGTGGTACCTCTCACACTGCGGGGCCTATCGTTTTGACTCATTCTGCCAGTTGAAATGTTCGTCTCTTCTGGAAACATCCTCACAGATCCACCCAGCGGTAATGTTTTACCGGCTCTCTGGACATCCGTTCACCCAGTCGAGTTGATAACAGAAAACTGCCACTCTCCACAATTGCCGGCCAGCCCCTCTGAGCCCAGAGCCGTCATTCTTGTCCTGCCAAAATCCAGGGGGCTGTGCGCAGTGCCCCTGGCTGGAGGCATCACAGAGCCCTGGGTCTGGCCCATCCTAGCCCCAACCCCAGCCCCTTCTCTCCAGCGCTCCCCCCGCCGCCCCACCCCGCAGCCCCCCTCCTCCAAGAGGCAGGGTTCTAGCACTTTCTGGCTCTGCTCACATGGCCACGGCCACACGGTAGGCGGTAAGAGTACTGAGAGTAATCCACTGGCTGTAGGACACGTAGCCCAGAGCCCGGGGAAAGGTTGTCAACTCCGCAAGTAGCTTGGAGCTATCAGTGTCCATCCCGTGTCACTGCGTGCCCTGCCCCAAGGCTGCTAACCATCAGGCAGACAGAGCTGAAGCTTTAAAAAGAAGCTCTGGGGCTCAGTGGCCCCCAAACTTCGGGGCCCCATTGGAATCACTTGGAAACTCCCCATGCCTGGGCTGCCCTCCCCAGCTACAAACTCTGATCTCTGGGGGCAATGTTGTTTTTTTTTTTTCTTAAAGAGGCCCTGGTGATTCCTGCAGGCAGCGAGTTTGGGAACCACTGGCGTGGCTGCTCTAGGGAAGGGGAGGGGACTTGGAGGAGGGCCGAGGTTAGGCTGTTAAATGAAGGTAGAGCCCACACTCACCTCTTTGCAACCTGTCATTCTGCCCACAATAACCCTAATGTGTTTGAAGCAGCGGCTAGGCATTCGGCCTCATTCCACATGCCCTCAGTACACAAACTGTCATTCATAATATACACCCAATAGGCCATACTCTCCTTTATAATCCGGGTCCTGTGTGTGTAATTATACCTGTGTGTGCGTGCTCACCAGTCATATCGAACATGGGGCATGTCACCACCCCCAGGCTCTAACCCAGCTTTTTGTCCATCAGCCCTCTCAGTCCCCCTCCCCCGAGCCGGGGTCCCCATCCAAGTTCTCTTTCCCCTTTGTCCCCCAGTCTGAATGTCCAAAAGCTGGGGGAGGGGATGAGTCATGTTCCAGGCGGCGTGGTTTGGTGCTGACCGGATGGGTAGGGTGGGGCCAAAAGATAGGAGAAAGTCATGTGCAAAACTGTTTCTGGGTGGTGGGTACAATGTTGGGGGCGGGGAGGAAGAAACCACAGCCTCCAGAAATGCGGCGGGAGGGATCCTGAGGGGCTGTGGGCTGGAGCCAAGATAAGGGGAGCCATATGGCGGTGTGGGTCGGCCCAAGGTCACTCTGAAGAACCCAGGAGGAGTGGAAACGTGAGCCCTCGGTTCCCTGACCTGAGCACCAGCGGGTGAGTGGGAGTCAAAGGAAGGAACCGTCCAGAAAGCACCAGAGTCCCTGCCTTGGGGGATCCTGGTTGGGGCAGGGGAGCAGCGTGGGAAGCTGCATGCCATCAGAAGTTGTCTGGAAGATGTGGAATGTGCGTATGACTGTGCCGGGGCCAGAGGCTGTTTATTATAACCAGATCGTCACATCCCACGGAGGTCAGACAGGAGAAGCTTTTAGGCACCAGTCTCCCGCTCCCCTGCCTTATGTGAGGTTCCTGAAACGTAGCAGTTTGGAACACAGGCGTGTGATGGATGTGTTGTCTTCGTGGGGAACAGAGGGCCGCAGAGATGCTCTCAGGAGAGGCC